AACTAGGAAGTTTAATTATCTCTCAATAGATGGAGAAAAATTAGGAAAAATACTTCGAAGTTTAATTATCTCTCAATAGATGGAGAAAAGAATTAAGAAAAATACTTGGAAGTTCAGTTATCTCTCAATAGATGGAGAAAAAATACTTGGAAGTTCAGTTATCTCTAAATAGATATAGAAAAAATACTTGGAAGTTAAGCTATCAGAGGCGACTGTAGAAATGAACTCTCATTGCAGGTACTTACACAAAAAGCGCTCTGATATCCAAAGTTGCCGAATTTTTTATTTCACTGATTTTCCTAAAACATATATTACTGTCAGATGCAAAAATCAGAGTGGACAAATTTTGACATTTTTACTTACACTTACTTTAATTTTTTTACATAGTAAGTTTATCTACAATCTATGATATTTCCATATAAACAATTGTATTTTAGCTCATTTGTGGCATAGTGCAGTGGCGGGCCGGATGAACTGACCTCGCGGGCTGTAGTTTGGTGACCCCTGAGTTATACTGTAAAGAAAGAATAGCTTTAAAAATAAGAATATTCAAACAAAATCCCAACATCTAAAAGGCCATGACGTCTTCGTATAAAAGAAACTCCACCTTTTCGGATTGGTTTTACTCTGGGTTAAATAACGTTGATTTTTTTTAGCTTTTCACGTAATATAATATTTTTGATTAATCGTATAATGTCTGAAATTTTAGTTTTCCCACGAAATTAGCACAATGCGATATTTTTCTATTAATTTTGTTTCAAAAAAGTACTTTTTTCCATATTCAAAAAAAGTCATATTTTCACCAAAAAGCCAATGTTTTTCCTCATATTTAAATACAGTGATACCATTGATATAAGACTTTCAATATGGATATCTCTTCATCAAAATTCCATATAGTTATTTCATAATCTGTTATCAAAAGTTCGGCTATCTTCGATTTTACTGGGTTTTTGTTTTTCAGTTATGCTGTAAAGAAAGAATAGCTTTAAAAATAAGACTATTCAAACAAAATCCCAACATTTAAAAGACCATAACGTCTTCTTATAAAATAAACTCCACCTTTTGGAATTTTTTTACTCTGGGTTAAATAAAATTAATTTTTTTTATCTTTTCACTGAATATAATATTTTTCATTAATGGTATAGTATCTGAAAATTTAGTTTTCCGACGAAATAAGCACAATGCGATATTTTTCTATTAATTTTGTTTCAAAAAGTACTTTTTTTCCATTTTCCAAAAAAAAATTCATATTTTTACCAAAAAGCCAAGGCCTATGTTTTTTCCCAAATTTTGAAAAAAATTGTTTTTCCTCATATTTAAGTACAAAGATGCCCTTGATGTAAGACCAGTAAGGTCATCGTTAAACGTATGTTATTGTAGACATACGTGTACTAACCAATATCAAAACACGACAGTAAGGTCATCGTTAAATGTAT